AGAACATGGCAGGAACTCGCGGAGCGAGGAGTGGCTCACCTGTGAGAGGCAGAGAGGACCAGCGTTAGGTGGAGGCTGGCACTGGCAAAGGCAGAGAGCAGAGGAGGAGGAGGCGGCTGGTTGGTGGGGGAGCTCAGACGGGGAAGCCCTAGGGGCCACATGCCCCAGCCAACCAGTCGCACCACCAGCATGTGAGGCGTGGGGGCTGGGAAGTAATATTGGCCGTAGCTTACACTCCTGTCCCTGGCTTGCTGTGGGGGTGCTCAGGGCTCCTTCCCTCAGTTGTCCTGGGTGCCTGGCCTCTCCCAGGGCCCCACAGTGGGAGTGATGGTTCATGTTTGTCTGCCACTGAACATATGGTGACCCCACACTGTGATGGTCACCGAAGGGGACCCTGGCTAAGAGTAGGGAGGTCAAGAAGGCTCCCCAGAGGCAGCAGAGAATAAGAACCATGGAGAAAAGGAGGGTCAGGAGGCGGGAACAGCATGCGCCAAGGCCCTGGGGTCAGCATGCTTCAAGAATTGCAGGCCTGGGCCAGAGCTGGCTCTTTCTGGATCTTTGCTTTTATCCTAAAACCAAATGAAGGCCACAGGGGGATAGCATTACTTACCGGGTGGCCCAAGGTGCCGATCCCTGCCCCGTGCCTGCCCCTTGCTGAACCTGGATCAGGAGAGCGAGGACTCCCACACTCCCTCTTCACACTCGGACATGTGTGGATGTGGAGCAGCTCCTCAGGGCGGAGACCAGGGGCCCCCTGGGGCCTCCTCAGCCAGCCCGTCTCCACCCTCTGGGGGCCCTTGCTGTCCTGCCCTGGGTGGACGTCCCCCAGCGCTTCTTGTCAGACCCAGTGTCCTGGGGGGGCTGTGCTTTATATACCTGATATATATATATGTATACCTGATATATACACTCATGGAGAAACTGAGGCAAGGGAGCCTCAGCCTGGCTGCCCAGTCCCCCTCAGCCCCCAGTCCACGCTTCCTGTAGCGGGGGGCCGGTATCAGGGCTCATCCCAGCCCCGGCCGCCCTCCTGCTGCTCACACCCTCTCCTGTGCCCACAGCGACATCTACCCGGCTGCCCTCCCTTCAGAACACACCATTGTCTTCCTCCTGCGCCTGCTCCCAGAGACACCCCGAGAGGCCTTTGCGCTGTGGCAGCTGACGTCTGAGGACTTCCAGCCTGTCCTTGGGGTTCTTCTGGATGGTACTGTGGCCCAGTGTCACCCTGGCAACAGGGAGGGAGGGGCCCATGTCACTCTCTCCTGACACAGGCAGGGCTGCAGGGTCTCCAGCTGCAGGGCACCGATGTGAAGGCAGGGATTGCTGCACCCTGAGAGCTGTGTTCCCCTGGGGCAACTCCTGGTCCTGATGGGGAGCCCCGGCCAGGCCTGGGCATCCACCCTCTCTGTCCCCTTTCTTGGGCTCCAGAGCTGCCCTCACCTGGTCCTCACCCTCCTGGCAGCCGGCAGGAGGTCACTGACGTACTTCCACCAGGACCCCAGGGCCGCCTTGCAGGAGGTTACCTTTGACCTGCAGGAGGTGAAGAAGATTTTCTTTGGGAGCTTCCACAAGGTAAACATCTGCCTGAGCCTTGTGGGCCCTGTGCCACCCCACCCCGCACATGGTGGCCTCCTCTGTTGCACCAGACCCCAGAGCCCAGGAGTGGGGAAGGACTTCAGCCTTTGCCCTGCCTGTTTGGGTCTGGACCTGGCATCCAGGACAGCACTGGCCCTGGCCTGGGCAGCAGAGGACCCTTGTGGTATCTTGGCAGGTACATGTGGCCGTGGGCCGCTCCAAGGTCCGGCTCTATGTGGACTGCCGGAAGGTGGCTGAGAGGCTCACGGGGGAGGCTGGCAGCTCACTTGTCTCAGGCTTTGTCACACTGGGGAGGCTGGCCAAGGCCCGGGGACCCCGGAGCAGCTCGGCCGCAGTGAGTCCGGGCGTCATCTTACAGGGCGTGCAGGGCTGTCTCTGTGGCCTGTGCTGGGCTGACCATCTCTCTTGTGGTCAGTTCCAGCTTCAGATGCTGCAGATCTTGTGCAGTGACACCTGGGCAGACGAGGACCGGTGCTGCGAGCTCCCTGCGTCGGTAAGTGCCACAAGGCCCCGTCACTGTGTCTCAGCCCTGTGCAAGAGCCCACCCAGGGTCCCAAGAGTCAGGTGGGCAGACCATCTGGATTGTTGCTGGGCTATGACAAGAAGACTTCCTGGAGGAGGGGAGAGGCCCGAGGGCCCAGGGGCAGGCCAGGAAGCCCCAGCACCAGCTCAGTACAGGGCCAGGAAGGGTACAGCCAGTAGGGCCAGGCTCTCCGGGGCTACACCAGGCCCTCACCCATCCCCTGCCTGCCCAGCACTGGCCCAGCATGTGAGCCTAAGGGGAGTGAGGAGCACTGTCACCCCGGCCTCGGGGCTCCAGGCTGGCTGTGCACACGGGCATAGCACCATGTGCCCCAGACCTGCCCACGATTCTTCCACCCATACTGAGTGTGGGTGGGTCTCCCTGAAGCCAATGTCCTCACTGTGCTGAGCTGTTGGGTCAGACAAGAACCAGGGGACGGTCCCCCGAACACATGGTCTCCTTTCTTGTAGAGCGACAAGGAGACATGCCTGGCCTTCTCTTCTACCTGTCCTTGTTCTCCTGACACCGCTGGGCCCCCAGGACCCCAAGGCCCTCCGGTGAGTCCTGTGGCCTGCCCCTCGGTGCAGACACAGCTGGCATAAGGTGGCCATGGAAGCATGGGCCCCCTCCAGCAGGAGCCTGGGCCTGGCCCTCCCCAGGCCTGCCACACAGAAGGGCCACCTGTCGGTCTCCTCCCATGTCCACACCAGGCCCTTGCTTCCCTCTGCTAGGCTTCTGTCTCCCAGCCAGGCCCCTCCCTTCCAGAACAGGCACTGGCCCCTGTCTAGAGTTGGGATGGGGACTGGGCCCAGCAGGCCTCCAGGCCTGCATGACGTGGCCTGACTTGAGGAACAGTCCTGCCTGTGGCTGTGCTGGTTGCTCAGGGTGGCTGTTGAGTCACCTGCAGCAGGTGCCACAGGGCCTCTCTGCCAGGCTCTCTAGGTCCCGACCTGCTGTGGGACAAGACCCGAGAGATGGTCAGCCATCTCTGCTAGCTCAGCCAGGATGCCCATGGACTCATGTTAGAGTAGTCACCCGAGCTTGGTGTCCTCCAGGCCTCCCTGGCCAATGGGCCAGCATCTAAACTCGATCTGCCTGGGTCAAACGTGTGCCAGCTGGAGGGCAACGCGGCCTGAGCGTCCCTACCCTTGGAAGGCCCCTCCCAGCTACAGGGACATAGGCCGGAGCTGAGCCCACCAGAGGTGGGGGGAGGGTGAGTTTGGGGCTCAGCCCTGTCTGTGCCTTCCCAGGGCCTTCCGGGGAGCAAAGGTGCCCCAGGACAGCAGGGCCTCCCAGGACCCAAGGTGAGTCTTGTGGGGTGCAGGTGAGGGTGGGAGTCTTCAGCAGCTGCAGGCCACAGGTGGCACCTGAGCTTCCCAGGCATGGCTAGGAGGTGCCCAAGCTGGGGCCAGGGAGCTCAGGGTTGCAGGGAAACTGGGGACCCCTCTAGGCTCCCCATGACCTCTGGACACCAGCCCTGTACCCAGTGCTCAGCGGATGCACCCTCTCCATCACCGCACCCTGCAGCACGGCCTCACATGGCTGGGGTCGAGGGCTTAGGGAGCTGAGCTGCCTGCCCAGGGGGTGGCTAGGCTGCCTGGCTCCAAAGCCATGCTTTCCTCCTCCCCAAGCACTGGCCGAGGAGGCCAAGTTCACAGCGTAGCTTCACACACACTTGGCTTCTGCACACCGAGGCCGGGTGCACCTGGGAGCACAGGCTGGCACTGCAGAGTGGGAAGACAGGGTTCCCAGCAACGCCAGCAGCACCCTGCTGGCCAAGCTCCAGAGATGACCTAAGTTACAATGCCGCCCGCATGTTGCAGGGTCCCGTGCATCTGCACTCAGTGTCACTAGGCCCTCTGGGCTGGGCTGGGTAAGCTGCATGGGCTGTGTGTCGCAGAGCTGGCTGGTCCTCTGGCCTCACACAGGTGGGCAGTCACTGGGCTCCACGGCTGCAGACCGTGCTGCAGTGCTCCTCCTGTGTGCCTGGCGCACAGAGCTGAGACAGCCATCAGAGGCCCCTGCGCATCCCCGACCACTGCTAGCTGGGCCTCGTGTCTTGTGAGCTCCAGGTTCTTGTCGGAAGCCAAGCTACGACCCCTGCACTGCCCTGGTTCCTCTGGGAATGGCGTGCACCGCATGGGGTTGCTGTGTGCTGGGAGGGGCACCATGCTCAGGGCTAGGTCCCTGGGCCTTGCTTGTGGCCTGGCTCCATGCAGACTCCCAAGGCGTCTCAGCCTCTCTGGTCTGTCTTCTGTGGCTTTCGCATTGTGTGAGCAACTTTGAAAGGCCTTCCTTAGCCCGGGTAGGAAGCGCACTTCCTGGGTCTCTGGGCCTCCCAGGGCCTTTCACACAAGTGCAGTTCCTCCCCCTTGCCTGGTTTGAAGCAGGGAAGGGCCCATAGCTGCTCTCTCCAGACTTGCCCCCTTGGCTGCTGAGGAGCCGGCTGTCCCTGCCGTAACCCTCTCCCTTGCCTGCTCCGTCCTACCTGCTGGCCTGTCCATCTTCACTGCAAGGACTTGGCCTTTCGAGTCACTCCAGCCTTCTGTATCGGCAGCTTTCACATGGTTGGATGCCATCAACTGCAGACGGAAAGTATTTGGGAAAACACGTACAAGCCTTTTCCTTCTCCCTGTTCTCTGAGCAGCTGCTGTAGTCAGTGCACACATTGCGCCAGGTGTGAGGCCTCATCCAGAGCCTGCAGGAGGACGTCTAGCAGGGTCTGGGCGATGCGCGCCCCTTTCCATAGCTTCTGCACCTTCCCTATCTGGTCTCTTTTTCTTACCTAAGGTGAACGCCGCAGAATCCACTGAAAACAGTGGTGATACAGCTTTGCTCAGCTTCATCCTGCCTGAGCAGAAGCCCCAGTTCTGTCTGCCGAGTGCAGAGTAGACTTGGAAGTGGAAACAGATATATTTTGTCACATGATAGTAAAATCCATTTATTCCTAATTTACTATGAGATTTAAAAATCAGGAATGGATGTTAAATAAGATTTAGTGCTTGCTCCACCGTTGTGGACATGATTAAGTAATTTCCTCCCAGAGCTGTTGGCTATTAATTTGGCCAGTCCCCAGATACCAACTGTCCTCACGTCCGTGAACACGCCAGCTCTGTCCCTGATCCCCTCACCCAGTTGCCACGCACTGCACTGCAGACTCTGTCCGCTGATGTTTTATTTAGGGTTTGTGCATTCATCCTCAGAGCTGTGCAGCTTGTCTGATAGAGTTTGGAACGTTGATTTGCTTAATTCAAAAATAATGTGAGAGTCTGCAAGCTAGCTTGGTGGTTCAAAGCACCTGCTCAGGCAAGCTTAGGCAGGGAACATGGTTCAATCCCTGGCACCACACGCCACGCCAGCCCTGCCCCCAGGGTGGGCTGAGCCGGCCACAAAAAAACAAACAACAACAACAACAAAAACCAACCTACACTCAAAAATAATTTGAAATCGTGTCTCCCCTCAATTTCAAGCAGTTTAAACATTGCCGGTGTCATGGGTCCCTCAGAACTTGGTTTCCAGTGAAATCTGAGTCTGGTGTTTTGGCGTTTGGAGCTTAAGGAAACCCCTCCTGTTCCTGTGCACTAGGCCCCTGGGGCCCCACTCTTCTCCTCCCTTGAATTCTGCAGGAACCCAGGCTGGGGCTTGGGGCCTCGTGTCGGACTCTGCAGCTCACTCCTCTGTGCCCCTGGAGGAGCAGCCTCCACACGCTGTGCTACATGGATAAGGTCATACCCGCACCCTCCAGGGCCACCTCTGACCTCTAGCAGCACCACGTGGGCTGGGTCTGAACCCTGTGGTGCTGGCCAGAGGGCTAGAGGGCTGGCAGTGAAAAGGAGGGGCTTCTCAGTCCCCCACTTGTGTCTCCAGGGAGAGCCAGGGCCGCCAGGACAGATAGGATCTGAGGGCTCTGGAGGACAGCAGGGGTCGCCAGGGACCCAGGGCCATGTCATACAGGGGCCTGTGGTAGGTGCTGCCCCCACCTGCCCCCCTCCCCTCCGCCCTTTCCTTGCTGCTGCTCAGCCCACCTTCCCCTCTAGGGTCCACCAGGGGTCAAAGGAGAGAAAGGCGACCATGGACTCCCAGGCTTGCAGGTAGCGTGCGCTGGGCCGCAGAGGGGCAGGACTGAGTCACGCCCCCTCCTGTGGGTTTGACCGAGGGCCCTGCCAGCACTGCCTGGTCTTACTTCCCTTTCAGGGCCAGCCTGGCCAGCAGGGCTCTGCCGGGAGAGTTGGCTTCCAGGGACCGAAGGTACTGGCTCTGACCCCAAAGATACCTGTGGGTGGGTGGGTGGGTGAGAGGCACAGGAGGGGAGGGGAGGGGCTCCCCCTACTCTGTCCACCCTAAACACTGTTCCTAGCCAGGAGGGAACCGGGCCCCAGCCTGTACCAGGGCCAGGTGACATTGCTCTCAGGCTGGGTGAGGGCAGTGGCTGTGGGGCTCATGGACGCCTTCTCAGTGAGGGTCACCGTGACCAGCACACCCTTCTCCCGCCAGGGAATGAGAGGACTGGAGGGGCCTGCTGGCCTGCCTGGACTCCCTGGCCCCAGGGTGAGCACTGCCGCCTCCTGAGCTCGCACCAGCATCCCTGAAGCTCCTTGGGGCCAGGCACAGCTGGCCTGGGAAGGGGTGAAAGCTGCCTGCTGTGTCCAGCCGTCCCAGGAAGTGGGCTGGAGGAGGCCTTGTGCCTGCTGGAAGCACCTCCAGGGCTGTGCGTCTGGGCCTGGAGCACATCCCTGTGGAGATGCAGTGTTCGCCTGGCCCCTTGTTCCTGTGCCCCAGCCTTGTGGGGCAGTGCTGCAGGGCTCTGCTTGGACCCGGATGGGCTGGGCCAGCCTGGCTGTGGGGGCCGTGAGACAACAGTGCCGCTGGAGCAGAGGGCTCTGGCCTTGGCAGGCCCTCCATGCCCAGCTCAGCACTTCCCAGGGACATTGCTGTGATGTGAGCCAAGTGCCTGGCCAACCCCTGTGGGGTCTCAGGGACACAACCAAGACCCTGCTAGCATCTGCTGCAGGCCGCAGGAGATCAGCAACTGGGGTGTAGCTCTCTGGGCATGGGAGGACCTCTCTGGGCACTGGGCAATGGCTGGGAGGGTCTGCCCTGGGTGAAGGGTATGTGGGGTAGGCCCTTGGCATGGGGCTAGGGGCAGGACCTGGACTGGGCAGCTGATGCTGAGCTCAGGCCCAGGCTGCTCAGGAGCCAGGACCAAAGGGGCAGGCTCACTATGGCCCCAGCTGAAGCCCAGCTTCTGCTCTGCAGGGGTTCCAGGGCTTGACGGGAGCCAGGGGCACCAGTGGGGAGCGAGGGCCCCCAGGGGCTGTGGGGCCCACGCTAAGTCCCCTTCCTTCCCTCTGGAGCCAGCACTGCTGAGAGACCGGGTTGGCTGCAAGCAAGCTGGGGGCTCCAGCAACTTCATGGGCCCCGAGGTCCAGGTCCTACTGTAGGACCTCCAGCCTGGCCTGCCTGCTCCGGGGTGCAGGTGAGGGGCACCGGCCCCCAGAAATGGGGGTCCAGCTGCGCCCACACACCGCACTCAGGAGCCTAGGCAAGTGGTCTGGTGCCGTATCTGCCATGGCCTCAGGGTCACGGGGTTCTCTCCTCTGCCTCCGGCTGCAGGGGCTACCAGGACCCAAAGGGGAGCGAGGAGAGAAGGTGGGTGAGGCTGGGAGTTGGGGTCTGGGTCCCCATCTGCTGGTTGGGCCCCCTTCCAAGTGACGCTGGCCCAGGCCCAAAGCTTGGTCCTCCTCCTAGGGTGAGCCTCAGCCCCTTGTCGCCATCTTCCAGCTGGTGAGCCAGGCCTGCGAGTCAGCCATCCAGAGTAAGTGAGGCCCCCCTGCCCGCCCTCCACCCTCTTCCACCAAGCTGGGGTCCTGCTCAAGCCAGGCTGCCTCCTCCCCAGCACACATGCTCAAGCTGGACTCCTTCCTCCATGAGAACACCAGGCCCCCGATGCCCATCCTGGTGGAGACAGAGCCAGGCAGGCCTGGACCCCTGGGTACCCCCAACCTGCAAAGCAAGGCCTCGATTCCTGGAGACCAGAGGCGTGGGGACCAACGTCCTGAGCAGCAAGGTACCAGGCTTCCTGCCATTGGGGAAGGCCTCTGGGGTGTGTGTGTGTGTGTGTGTGTGTGTGTGTGTGTGTGTAACTTTCTTGGCTTTGGTAAGAAATTGGGTGAATTCCAACTTCCCCTGAGGTGTCTCAGGGATGGGGCACATGCAGGGAGCCTCATCCACTCACCCAAGGACACTGCCCGGCCTGCTCACTAGACCAGGAATAAGTGCCTTGCTGGGGCCCAGGGGCCCAGCATGCTGCTGTCCTGAACTCTCAGCCCCCCTGAGGTGCAGGCCAGCTGCCCGTCCAGTTAGAACGGGGCCCTGAGAAAGGAAAACTGGGGCCACCACACCTCTGGGTCCTGACATTTCCCTGTCCTCTCAGGCCAGCCAGGCAGCCCTGGGCCACAAGAGAACCAGGCCCCAGGATCTGCGGAGGTTACAGGTGAGTGTCACAGCACCCACTGAGGGACACACATGCAGGAAGGAGGAGTGGCCAGGCGGGGACTCACAGCCAGTGCAGTGATCACCCTGAGGCAGAAAGCCACAGGCCCCACAGGAGCTGGGCAGGACAGGGCCCTGAGAGAGGCCAGGTGCCAGGTGGAGGGAGGGCCGCCACAGAGCTGGGTGCAAACAGCAGGGGCTGTGAGGGGCCATGGGTGGGCAGGGAGGCCCTGACAGGCTTAGCCCTGTGGAGAGGGTGCAGCCCAGGGCACGCTGGGGCAACACCTGGCCCGGGTGTGCAGCAGCACTGTCAGGGCCCAGGGGAGGGTTCTGGGAGCCCACAGTGCTCCTGAGGTGAGAAAGATGGGTTAGGAGGTAGGGTCGTGGCGCCAGGGGCTCTGCACTTCCTGAAGCAAGTGCTGCTGTATGCACAGTCTCTGGGCCATGCCCTGGGAAGGAGTGGACCAGGGCAGGATGGGCACAGCAGGGGGCAGCACAGCCTTGTCCCCTCCGGCTCTGGAGCAGGAGGGCTCTGGGAGAGGAAGCAGCCAGCACAGTTGCAAGAGGGTCAAGGAAGAAGAGTGCGTGGGCAAGGGTGGGCAGCCTGAGGGGGCAGGGGCAAGGATGCTGCTCTGGGCCAGGCCAGAGCCCAGGGGAGGGCATCAGCCTTGTCCCTGCCCGGTAGGCCAGCCAGAGACCGAGCAGGCCGAGCTGCGCCTGCTGCCAGGAGGAGGTGCACGCCCACACCAGCATGCTTGGGAGGAGGTGGGGTGCTGCCCCAGCGTGTGTACCCAGCGTCTGGCCTCCCACTCCTGCCTGCCCTTCTTTCCACCAGGACATCCCCCATGCTGTCCCGAGTGACCCTGTGCCTCTGCCCACCCCTCGCGGGGGGCTGCCTGCGCTCAGAAGGAGCACATTGTGCAGCGTGAGCCCCAGGAAGAGCAGTGGAGGGCAGGGAGGGACTGGGGAGGCACGGCTCACCCTGACCCTGTACTCGGCCACATCTCCAAGTCAGATCAACCCCTGATGGCTGGGCTACGCCTGCTCACTGTGGGCGGCATCTTGCACCCACTCGGCATTACTGCACAGCTCACATAAGACGCAGTCCAGATTTCTGGCTCCTTCCTCTGAGCCCAGCGTGAATCCTATGCCGCACCCATCTCATGCTGCCCCTCACCAGAGACAGCGGATGGCTCACTCTGCCACCCTCGGTCACTGGCACCCTGGCCGGCACCCGCCACCCCCCAGGTTGCCACCACACTAGGGGTAAAATCCAGGCTTCCTTCTCATCCGCTCCAGAATGCAGCAGCTTCCTGCTGTGCCCACCACCCCAGGGCCTTTGCACACATAGTGCCTCTACCAGGCTCCTCCCCGAGGGTCACTGTCCCTAGAGTCCCTATCTCAGAGCAGCACCCCCACCCTGGTCCCAGTGTGGCGGCTGCCTCTGGGTGTCTACAGGGCTATACCCCTACTGTGTCCCCACCCCAACAAGTCCAGGTCCCCGAGTGAGGGACTGGACCTCACAAGCTCAGCCTCTGCATGGAGCTCCTTGTCCCTGGAGCGACACAGCCCAGCGTACTGCAGGGAATGCACACAGGTCTGGGGAGCAGCCTCGAAGTGGGTCTGCCCAGGACGGCAAAGCATCGGGCAGTTAGAGTGTAGCCCATACATCTGGAGCATGTCGCAGCCTGGCATGCATCATCGGAGATCCGGAAAGCAGGGGCCCATGTGGGCCACATCCCTTGGCTGCTGGCTTCTGTCTGGGGCCAGCATTGCAGGGCTCGGTGTCCGGCCAGTGACATATCTTGGTTGGGTGACTCCATTTCTCTAAAGCAGATTTCATGGTTCTCGAGCAGCAGGATTAGGTCAGGCGGACCGTGCTGAGCCCCAGGACAGACCTCCAGGAGATGCTGGCGGGGGTTGGTCCTGGGGTGTGATGGGGGCATGGTCCTGGCCAGCTCAGAGGACCAAGCTAACAGTGAGGAAGGCTGCCTGGAGGTGGGCCACCCACGAGGCCCTGCTGGCCAAGGTCCTCACTGCCACCTACCTTCACACACCAGGGACAGTCAGCCAGGACCAACGTGGACTTGTGTGTGGAACATGGGACCATTGGCCACTGGAAGGCCACAAGCTCAAAAAGAATTCAGGGCTGGTCCCAGAGACAGGAGTGGAAGGGGATGACATTGGAGTCTACCAGAGCCCAGCCATGGGAAGAGGCCACTGGGCAGGTGTGGCCAGTGAGAGAGAGCAGAGACAGTGTCCAGCAACTGTCATGGCATAGACAGGGCTGCGGATTGCATTAGGAGTGGAAAGAGGACAGAACCACACGGGGAGAAGCAAGGAAGATCACAGAGCGCGTGGAGCCGTCTTGGCAGCAGAGGCCCAGGGCTAGTTCATGTGCTGTCAGACAGACAAGCTTTGAGAAACTCCCCAAAGACTCCTGGCAACGACACAGCCACCCTCAAAGGGCTGCCCCTTCCCACTCACCTTGGACAGGCAGGGAGTGCAGTTAGCGCCTCGCAGCACCTCACAGCAGGCACGGTGGCACATGCCTGTAAGCTGAGGACCCCAGGAGGCAGGTGGGAGGGTTGCAAGTTCAAGCCCAGCCATAGCAATTTAGTGGCTTAATGAGGCCCTCTCTCTCAAAAACATTTTATTTAAAAAAAAAAAAAAACATTTTATTTTATTTGTAATGAAAGTAAAGAGTGAACTCTGCTCAGCAGCCCAGGTTCAATCCCTAGTACTGAAAAGAAAACCTTCCAGAAAACGGTGAGGACTCGGTGCATGTGCACACATGTGCGCGTGTGTGTGCCTGTCCATGTGTCTCCCTGTGACATTAATCCTCAAGATGCCATTACAGTACAACAGTTGCTTTCTCCTGAATCTCTGCACACGTGTGTGTGCACATCTGCGAACACGTATGCACACCCTGCACACGCACGGCACTGTCATCCAGGTCTAGGGGATGGGCCAACGGGAAAGTGAGGTGCCTGCGGGGAAAACTCACCAGAGGCAAAGTCTACACCACACAAAGATGGATCCCTGCTCTTCTTGGCTTTCAGAAGTCATAACATGCAAAAGACAAGGCGGGGTGCGACTAGCACAAAGCCAGAGACGGCAGGCATGAGGAAGGGGAACCAGCCAGAAGTGCAGTGGCAGGCAGCGAGGCGGTCTGAGAGATGCGGCTCGGGTCAGGAGCTGCAGGGGCAGGGCTGAAAAGCATCCAGAAGCTTTCAAAAAGTAGAAAATCAAGACACTGACATCCATACGACAAGGAGACACCGTGAGTAAACCGAGGGTGGGGATGCAAAGTTGTAGTTTTTGAAGATTTGAGCATTAGAGAAGAGTTCATGATCGCAGATTAAAAGGCCTGCCGGTGCCAAATGGGACAGATTCTAAACGTGCCCTGGGTGCGTTTGTTCGGCTTGTGCTGAGACAGGGGGACGTCCGTGAAGAAATCGCACAGGGAAAACCTTGGCCGAGCCGCAGAAGACAGGAGCAAGGCTTGCCGTGGCCAGCGCGAGGGCCATGGCTCCCCTGCACGCAGGAGAAGGGCTCGTATTGTATATCCAGCCAAACTGTCACTTAAGGGACAAGGAGAAAAGATACTTTGGGGGCCGTACCCCAGCATGTGGGTGAGTCCGCCTGTGGCTAGGGAGAGCCTTGCGCAGGACCCAGAATGGATGAGTAGCTGGGCCCTCTCTGTCTACAGCAGGCGAGAACAAAGTGCTCGGTTTCTCTAACAAGGCTGAGAGGCGGAGGGCTGGCGTGCGGGTGTGGGGAGGTGGAGGCACGAGAGCGCTTTCTCGGATCGATCAGTAAGCCCTTGAGAAACCTAATGTCTATTTTAAGTTAGGAACAGACACAGTATAAAAACAAACTACCCTTTGAGCATAGCGGACTAGAGTAAATGTTCTTCAGAGAGAACAAGACATACTTTTTTAAAAAATAAGAGATGGCCCAAATACTTCCCAGGACAGCAGAACCTACAATAAACGCGAGCTTCCCTGACTGAAAGAGGAACTTCGAAATTGCGTTAGAACACCTCCAGCCTCAGTGGAGTAACTAATCCTGGACCCCAAAACATAAACTCCACCAGACGCTGCCCCGCATTGCACAGGAGAGGACAGCGTTTTCAACAAATGGAGACCGCAACTCAGTGTTCCAGTAACAAACGTCATCCCTGGCTGTGGCGCCATATAAATAGTCATTCACAAAACCCCCAAACCTAAGCACTACGGGGAATGCAGGACACACCTCCCCTTGGGGTGGGCAATGACTTCTTAACAGGATACATAATAATAAAAGGGAAAAAGGTAATAACACTTCATTGAACTTAGAGGCTTTCTGTTGAAAGACACCCTTAAGAAAACAACAGAGGGGGAAAGCCTCCTGCTGTCTGTACAGAGCGCAGCTTCTACAGGATGTGAAAGCACATCCCGCCACTCCTAAAAAGAAGCCAGTCTGTGAAACAGTGGGGAGCTGTTCTGGAGGCTGCTTCACCCCGGGACAAAGGACCAGTGGCCAGGAAGAAGCTGGAAAGGCACGCACTGGCCACCAGGAGGTCAGGATCACCCCCTGCAATGGTTTAATGTTAAAAAGAGCAAAACCACCAAGTGTTGGTCAAGGGTGTGAAGCGGCATGACCTTGTTGGAGCACAACTTGGAAGGCCTCTGGGAAGATAAAAACGTAACTGTCGAAGGCCCAGGGATCCTACTGTGTGTCTGCTAGAAGGAATGAAAGCGCATGTCCCCGGGAGTACTCCCGGCCACTTCCTCCGAGGGTGCACAGCGAAGGCCATCTGAATGCCCGCCAGGAGGGAGGGTGCTCCCACCCACGCCTTCTGCATGGAGGCCCAGAGCACCATGAGTGACAGGGCCGGGAAAGGCACCTCGAAAGCGCATGCAAACAGGCCGTGTGGTTGCGACTGAGCTCCGGACTCTCCCGGTCCTGGTACAGGGGACAGGAGAGACCTCTGGGGCGGTTAAGGGATTCTGCACTTAGGGTTGTCTCAGCACACGGGTAAAGGTAAGATAGAGAAGGTAGGCCATGCAGACTCTGCCAGAAGAAAGCTGGAGCGGCCCTGGTACTGTCAGAAACACAGGCAGTTACCAGGGGCACAGAGGGACATTACAGGACAAAGGCACGATCCACCAAGGGGACACAGCAGAACTTCAAACACGAGAAACAAAAGCCGTGAGAACAGGAATGAAGGACAGATCCGTGGCATGCTTGGGGACAGAGCTCCCCCTCTCCAAAATCCAGAGAAAAAGACATAAAATCACAAGGGAAGAGAGGCCCTGATACCACTGTTACTCCCATAGCCTGGTCAGCATTTCTAGAACATTCTCCAAAAAGAAAGAAAACGAATTCTTTTCCAGTGTATTTGGGGCACTGACCAGGACAGAGTATATGCAGAAACCAAAGACACGTGACAGACTCAAAAGGGTTGGATCACACAGGCTACTTTTCTATCAGGAACCAAATTAGAAATCAATTGTAAAGATGGGAAAACTGACCAACATTCTCATAGAAAAGAACACAGCCTGCTAAACACATGGCAAGTCGCCCTTAGCAGTTAAGAAGTGTTTTCCAGGTTTAGGTGACAGCAATTGGCACAAGGCAAGCCACAGTGGAGACCACCGCATTCCCCCCAGTGGCTGCACCAATCAGAGCCCCTGGTGTGAAGGCGCAGGGAGGCTGGTGGAAGAGGGGCTCTCCTCGACACACCAAGTCTGGAAAGCGGTCTGACCCCACGCACCTCCTCCAACTGAGCCGTCAGCCCAGGCCTGTGTCTGGCAGGAGCAGGCAGATCAACCCCTCTTGTGCAGCCCCGAGCCAGGCCCGTGCACGCATCCTTCCAGAACCAGCGAGTAACGGGCAATCCCGCTACTCACAGCAGCCCAAGCAGGCTGAGGAAAGAAGCCAGTGCGAGAGCACACCCTATTGGGAGGGTTCCAGGCCTGTCCACTGGGGTGGAGCGTGCTGGCTGCTGGCGAGGGTGTCTGGGTGCTGGTGCCACAGCGTCCAGTCTGAAAGCCGACAAGGCGCCAGGCTGCTGGTGCAGCATGCCTGCTGTGCGTATGTCCCTCAAGGGCAGCAAATACCAAGAAACGTCAGCCAGGATTAGGCCAACAGAGACGCCCTCTCCAGATGGTGAAAGTGCAAACAGCATAATCCCATGGAAACCTGTTCGCATTATCTCCTAAACCCCAGCACAAACTCCACGAACAACTCTAGCACCAGGTATTATATCCAAGCAGTGTACTTCCAACTGTGGGTCAGATCACCTTGGTAGGCTGCAACCAGCATTTTTCTACAGATTGAAACGGGAGACTAGAATTACAACACGCCAGAGCATGGAACATGCGCTCAGGTTGTAGCTGTGTGTGTTTGTGCAGGAGCTGTGGACATATTTCAGGGACTGGCAGCCTAGTCTGGGACAAGGCCACACAGCAAGAGGCTCAGCTGTGAGGCGTGGTTCTGCTCTGCTGGGAGGCCAGCCGCGACAGCGCGTGGACACAAAGTGGCTCCCGCTAGCACAACCTACTCACGGGCCACGTCTGGCTGGCTCCACCCAGAACTGTCCCAGATGCCGAGTAACTGGACCCTCACATATTTCTGGTGAAAAAGCAAACATATCCAACCCCTTTGGGCAGCAAGAAGCCACCTCTGCCTCTGGACAAGTTGCCCACACAGGACAGCTCCTGGCTGTGTGCCTGGGTCAACTTTTGAGGGAGAGTGGTAGGCCACTGGAAGGCCCCATTTTAGGAAGACTGCTGTTCTGAGAGAAACAGCATGTCATGTTAGGCAAAGCCACGGGGGGAGCACCAGGCTGGCCAGAGGCACGAGAGGCGCTGGAGGCTGGGCAGGGCAGAGGACTCGGCACAGATGGCCAGTGTGGACACTGCAGCAGGCTCGAGGCATGGAGGTGGCCTCCAGGGGCTTTCTAGGGGCCCCGTTGGCCTGGGGGCAGGGCAGCATCGGCCAGCGTGAGTTGGCGGTGGGCTCCAGGCAAGCACTGTACCCCAGGGACTGGGCCAGTGCTGTCCTCTGAAGCCCCCCAAGATGTAGAACATTAAAATGTACAGAAAATAAAGAGATGCAGTTAGACACAAGGAGAAATGGGAACGTGCGCAGAGACGGACACACACACCGTACCTTGGTCCACAATGACAGCGGCCAGAAGCAAAGCCCACGGATCAACACACGGAGACTCAGTTTATTCAGACAGAACACTGCTCAGCAACTAAGAACCCAGACGCGGCACAGCAATGAGCTACGGGGCACACAGCACGATGAATGTCGACACCGTCATGCTGGATGAAAAAGCCGCATGCGAAGGCTCTGATGCGCCATCCTCGCCCAGCTGCAGGGCCTGGTGCTGCTGGGCTCAGGCAGTCAGGTCAGAGCGGCTGTAGGCCCCAGAGGGGAGGACAGAGGCCTGGGAGCACCGGGGGTGGCGCCCATGCCCCGGAAGGTGGGGGGCAGTGCTGTCCTCTTTTTTTTTTAACACTCACTGGACCAAAGGACTCTGTTCATGCATTTTTCCATAAGTAAACTTTACCTCACTTACAAATCAACATGGGGAGAAATATAGGAAGCCGGGTGCGAGGGACACAGCCGTGCTCTCCTTTCCTAGAGTCTCTGGGCAGCAGGGGAGCTGCCTGGCAGGAGGACCCTGGCTACTCACTTGTCCTGACCCAGAAAAGAACATCTGCAGCTGCTCTGCCTCGGGGCTCCACAGCTGCCCACACATCTGTCAGCTGGAGCTGCTTACGCAACTCAGATCTTGGCGCTCACATCTGAAATTTGCGTCCTCTGTGCCCCTCCCGGGCTGTTCCCCCAACCCCCAGATGAGTGAACTCACCCACCTGGGATCCCCGGCAATGCCCTGGGAGCCCTGGGGGTCAGGTTCTGGGAGGTTGGCACCAGTGCAGACCTTGCTTGGCGGGCTTGGGGGGCCGGGGGACTCGGTGCTTCTGGACAGTGCAGAGGCCCAAGGATGCCACACCTCCCACAACTCAGGATCCCCTTTCCACGTGGACCCAGGGGTGTCTGCAGGTAAAGGAATGGGTGGCACTAGCCCTAGGTGGCTGCTCCGTCCTGACGTCACTGTCCAGCAGAGAGAGCAGCAATCTTTGGTGGCAGCTGCCTTGTCAGCCGGTGAGAGGCATACAACAGCTGCAGGCCAAGTTCTTCCCTCAACTCTCCCAAGTACCTCCTGCCCCTGGCAAGACTTCAGCTCAGGGCAGGGGTGAGAGGACCACAGAAGCTGAGCCACCTGGCTCGTGCACAGAGGACCAGGGCTGAGCCACTGCTCAGGGAGACGCCTCCAAGCCCGGCCCCCAGATGCATGGGACTGCTGCCCGGTGGGGGTACCACCTCAGCCCCCACACTTCTGGACAAGCCAGGAGGCTGGGTAAGGTCACCTCTTGGTCTGAGGCCTTTACAGGACAAATCGGAGGGCTCTGGGCTCTGGCCTGTCTGGAAGCCCTGGGGGTCCCTGGTCCCATAACAGGGCCTGGGCTCCTTCCACGCCTTCTGCCTAAAGCCCCAGGATGCGCTGAGGGGGCCCATGGTCTAACCTCAGGGACTGTGACAGGAAACCCACCCTGTGGTCTGTCATGCCCAATGGGCTGCCAGGCTGTAAACAGTGGGCGTGACAGAAGAGAGCCCCGAGGGACTTGAGCCAGCTTGGGGTTCCCCACAGGGAAATCCCAAAACAAGTGCCCTCAGGGCTGTGGGCTTCCTGGGCCTGGACGCACTTGTCACAGGTCCCCAGAGCCTGGACTCTCTGGCCTGGCTGCACTGAAGCCTGAGGGAGGCTGCCCACATGCTAAGGAAGCGTGGTGCTCGGTCCTCAGTAACAAAATGAACCACCTGGTTCTCCCCGGTGGGCGCGGCTAGGCGAAGCCGGCACAGCATGGGGTGTTACTTGGACTGCTAGATCCCGAGGAAACAAGGGGGAGGGAATGAAAGGGGACAGAGCCTCATGGCACTGTGACAGGATGCTCACCGGGCAGCTGAGCGGCTCAGGCCTTCTTCAGATCAGGAGGGCCAAGAGCCATGTGCTCTGGAGAAACTTTAATGGGGCCTCACCGTGACACTGCCCTGTGGACAGAACAATCCCACGCCAGCCCCCTGTTCCCTCCCTGGCAACTGCATGACAGAGCCAGTACCCAACCCCAGCTCCCTTGGGAGGCAGTGGCTCTTTCCAAGGCTGTCTCACAGCAGGTATGGAGAGGGGGGACAAAAAATGGCCTGCCCCACGGAGTTGGTGGTTCAGGGACAAGCAGGCCCGGCCCTGCCGCATCCTGTAGGTGCCTGGGCCACACCAGCGCCATCCCTAGATCATGCCAGCCAGCCAGGGTGGCAGGAACAGGCCCACAGTGCCCAGCAGGCAGACGATGACGAACATCCACAGGAAGATGCGGTCGATGACCATGGCCACGTACTTCCAGTCCTCCTTCACCTGCAGACACAGACACAGTCAGCCCCAGCCCTCGGCCTCACAGCAACCAGGCGCTTCTGGAGACTTCCAGCAGGAACCCGCTGCAAGCACACCTACACACACCTGTACACACCCTGAGCACACATCTGCACCGAGGTGATGAACAAGTGGGGGGAGCACACCCAGATGACTGTCCAGCTGATGCTGAAAGAGCCAGTGCCTCGGCACGGTACAGCTGCTGCAGGGCCCAGGCGTGGAAGCCCCAAGTAGGGCAGCCAGGCGTCGAGAGCTGCAGGAAAGGCACTCGTGTGGGGGGTCCCTGGATTTGGAGGGAGCAGAGCTCCCTCGGGCTCACAGGAAACTGGGGACTCACACTGCTGCTTGAGGGCAAAGGAGGCAGAGACTGCCACTTGGGAGGGCTGTGTGGCTGCCCCATGACCCCTGGCCTCCACTGACTAACACTGGGAGAAAGACCGTGGAGGAGTCTACCTCTTCACTGCACAGACAGAGAAAGTGGAAACAGATGGAGAGCTGACCCCACCAGCCTGGGCTATGAGGGAGCAGGTGGGGACTGCTGGGTGGCATGCCAATGCCCAAGGAGCCCCCAGGGCAAGTGAGGTCCCAAGACCCAGGGCCGTGGCCTGACTGCCCGCACACTCCCTGCGCCAGGTGAGTGCTCACGGCTCGGCACACACAGGACCTGGAGCAGGTCTACACAAGGCAGGCCGCCGAGTGACAGCCCCATGGCAACGGTGCAGCGTTGTTGGGGCAGAGGGTGGACTACAGCAGCAGACATGCATGAAGCCCCATCTGCCTCGCTCGGTCCCCACCTACACTGTCCAGCGACACGTGGAATGAGGAAGCATGGGCAACGGAGGGAGGGGCTACACCTCTGAGAAAGCAGACCCCAGCCCAGGCGCCTGCCTCTGCCAGGGGCTAATGCAGGGCAGCCACTTCCCCCATGAGACCGCAGAGCAAAGATCCCGGGGAGACTGAAGTGTTTTCTGGCTAGGGCTGGGGCTAGCAAGCCCCTGGGAGACACCTCTGCCCATGGCCCTGGCCTCAGTGTTCTGCAGCCCAAGGCTGCTGCAGGCCCTGCTCTGCTGTCTGTCCTGTGTGGTGGTCAGCTGCCTGGAAGAGCCGGGGACAGCCACCAGGCTTGACTGGAGCTGTCTTCAGGATGGGCCCAGGGGACGGCAGGCTGGTGGGTAGGAGCATCCGGAAGAGGAGGCAGCAAATGCCAGCTCTGGCCAGCAGAGGAATGAGCAGACCTGGCAGCCTGGGACAAGGACAGCACTGGCTTCCCAGCGTGGGGGCACCTGTCCTAATTTTTCAAGGCAGTCTCAGGCATCCTGATGGTTCTAAACCAAACCTGCATGGCTGTGCTTACTTGCAGAAAGCCTCAGAGTGAACATGGTCACTTCTAAATAAAAAGCCCCCTGGAACTCCTGTTCAGGAGGGGCAGAGCAGCAGACTTGCCGGGCTCCTTCTGATGCCTTGAACTCTTTGCCCGAGCCTGGTGCTCAGCCCATCCTGAGAGGAGCAGGCGACCAAGTAGAGGCTTCCTGCTGTCCAGTGCTCCACCGCCGGTGCTGCGCCCCAGAAGCGGAACCAGGTCAGCATCAGCAGATGAGAGCGGAGGGGCCCGCAAGCTCCAGCTCCCTTGCTCTGAGCTGGCAACAAGCCAGGTTCATGAAGATTCTGATTAAATTTCTGATGGCATTAGTGGAACTCAGCAGTTGTTAAGGCTTGTGTCTGGATGTCCCCCCACCAAAGCCACATGCCGTGCGTGGGGGGTTGAGCTTTTCACAGGTGGCTGAGTCTAGAGTTCATGATTGTTTCATGGCCCAGCACTGGATTAAGGGTATGCGTGCTTGCTTGGCCTCGGGTAGGTAGCCTGCATACTGTACAAGGGACAGAAAGAGGCTCGTTCCTTCTCACTCTCGTTGCACTTGCTGTCTTCTGCTGCCACGAACTGTTGCCCCTCTGCTGTGTGCCACCCTACCTCAGGGGCGGCTGAGCATGGCCGGAAACCTCCCAAGGTATTTTGTCTCCGCAATGAGAGAACAGTGAGACAGCAGCCCAATCACACGCACCCAGGAGCTGCAGCCAAACAAGCCCCAGAGCCGCACCTCTCCAGGCAGGTCTGTATAGCCCAGAACTTTCTGGAAAATTCCAGAATAGGTTCACAGCTTCTTGAGACTCAGTGGGCTGACTCAAAGGGGCCACAACTCACTTCCTGGGGTGTGAGCATCAGCCCCCCTTCTTCCGGGCTTTCACTCAACTCCAGGATGTAAATGTCTGACAGCTGGGGGGTGAGCCCAGGAGGGGCCCTTGGGCTGGGGAGGAGAGCTGGCAAGCATCTGAGAGTCCTGGGGGGACCACAGCAGCAGGGACGTGGCAGGTGCCAGGCCAGGGCAGGGTCACTGCGGAGGATGGGTGCTGAATCGGTGTAAATGCAGCTGACGTGGCAGAGGCCCCAGGCCAGGCAGGACCTAGCTCCCCCCCCACGGGCCCCCAGCAGGCAGAGTCCACCACGTGGCCAGCAGCCCTGCCAGCCCTGCAGGGTCCTGAGTTCCAGCCTGATCTGAGCCAGGAGCCCAACCCTGGAGGCCCCCACACGGGAAAGGCTGGCAGCATTACAGAAGGAAAGCAGGTGATACCAGGGACGGGCTGAGGCAGTGCTGACCCGGAGCTGCACCCCCTGCCTTCAGGAGCCTAAGCTGCATGCCTGCCTCAGAGGGACACGGCCGGGCCTCAAGGCCCAGTCACTCTCAGGCTGAGACTGAGCACGAGAAGCGGGTGGGGGTCCTGGCCAAGGCCTGCACTCTGGAGTCCCCCAGATCTCCCAGGGCCGTGAGCTGGGGCCATGACTCTGCAGCTCCTCTCCCCGGCTTGGCCATGCGCCTTTGTGTCCCAGCGCTTTCCTCTCTGCAGCCTCAAAGATCATCTAGCCCTGCCCTCGGCCTCTGTCAGCCCCAGTCCTCTGTCTGAGGCCGTGACACCTTGTCCCAGCCAGGCTGGAGCCCCCAGCAAGCTGCGCGAGCCAGAAATGCCTGTGTTTAGGGGAAGGCACACGTGGACCCAGCCCTCCCCTGAGGCAAGGGTGGCAGGAGATCCCAGTGTTCAACCGCAGCCTGAATCCTGCAGAGAAGACCTGTGCTTATGCTGGTGCTAGTGGCCACCCTCACCCTGCCACCCGCCAGGACTCCTGAGGCCCAGCAAAGTGGTGTCATCTTGGTCCTGTGCTGCCACCAGCTACTCGGGGACACCTGTCCTGTTTATCCCCAGCTTGTCTCCGTGACTCCAGCTGAGTGGCCAGAGACAGAGGGCATCTTATTGGCCCTTTGGGCGGGGGCACCTCCCATATACAGCCACGGGCCCGACTCACCGAGAAATCTGAGTCCTCTGCCTTCAGGTGATCAGCAATGTACTGGACACCCTCAACTGCCCGAGTCAGGGCAGGTGACAGGGATAGGTGCTGGGGTGGCACTGTGGTGCCGCGGGCCTTGAGCACAGTGACCGGGGACACCACCGGTGGCTCCTTCTTACATGTGCACTTGCAGGGAGAGGGCTGGTCTGGGGGCAGCTCAGCTGGGGGGGTCTTCAGAGAGGTGGGGGAGTCTGCCGTCGGGCTGCCAGCCTGCGAGGTAGCTCCATCCCGGGGTCCGCAGTACTGGATGCTCCGAGATCGGCACCGGACGCTGCCTTCTGCCGCTTCATGGGGGCTGCGCACGTGCTGGACGCTCAGGGACCTGGCTTTGGTGAGCCCTGAGGCCCCAGTGCTGCTGGGTGGGGGGCAGGGCTTAGGTGAAGGGCAGGGGCTGCCCTTCTCAGCCCCTGGGGTCTGCAGAGCAGGCGCCTGGCCAGAGGGTGACTTGCAGGAAGGCTGAGCTTCCACCGGTTTCTCCGGAGGGACACTGAAGGATGGGACGGGAGATGAACCCTGGCTGCGGGAGCCACTAGGGATGCCAGGTGCCCCCTCAGGCTCAGGCCAGAAGCGTGGGGTGCTGGCCATCTTGTGCATCGACTCGATGAGCCGCCGGCAGTTGTCCTTGACCACGGAAGGCCGCTGCATGAAGAGCAGGCGTGGCACAATGTCCAGGAAGACCCTGCGCACCCAGGCAGGCATGGTGTGCGTGCGCGGCGAGCGGTGGTGTACGTTGAGCACGAAGACGGTGATGATGATGGAGAGCGTGACGAAGATCATGGTGAAGAGCAGGTACTCGCCGATGAGCGGGATGACCAGTGAGGTGGACGGGATGATCTCGGTGATGAGCAGCAGGAAGACGGTGAGCGACAGCAGCACAGAGATGCACAGCGTGATCTTCTCGCCGCAGTCTGACGGCAGGTAGAAGACCAGCACCGTGAGGCAGGAGATGAGCAGGCACGGGATGATGAGGTTGATGGTGTAGAAGAGCGGCAGGCGCCGGATGATGAAGGCGTAGGTGATGTCGGGGTAGATCTCGGCGCAGCACTCGTACTTCCGCGTGTTGTAGGTGCCCACGGCGTCCACGATGACCCACTCCCCGCTCTCCCAGAAGTCCAGCTGATCCACACGGCTGTGCATGCTCACCAGGTCGATCTTGGCCTTGTCGTAGGTCCAGGACCCGAACTTCATGGTGCAGTTCTGCTGGTCGAAGGGGAAGAAGGTGACATCGATGCTGCAGGAGCTCTTGTAGATGGCGGGTGGTGTCCACTGCACCCGCCCGTCGTGGAACAGGTGGGCCTTAGTCAGGTGAGTAACCGCGAAGTCCCCATCCGCACTGCAGGAAGGAGGGGAGTGGGGTGAGGCCCACACACCCCCGCACCCCGACATCCTCCCAGCACCTCCACGTCAACATCCACCAAGAGAGACCCACATCCTCCATGGCAGACTACTGGCCACAGGCCACGGGGAGGGGGCACATGGCCCTGCAAGCCTCGGGTTATCACCAAAGTTGAGGTGGCAGCTTTGTGGTTCAGAGAGTGCAGGAGGGACAGCCACACCTGCCACACTGTGTTGTGTCACCCTGCTGGTGACAGCTGTCATCCTTCAGGGCAGAGATGTGAGCCCAGTCTCAAGCCCTTGCTTCCAAGGCTCCTGGCACACCCCCACACATGTACCTCTGAAGGGTGCCGAGTCATACCAGCGCCTTTGCCCTCTGAGGTGTCCCAGACACTGTGGGGACTTTACCTAGCAACCATCCTGCTGGCTGACACTCGAGGGTGGCAAGCACCGGGTGCCATGTCCTGGTGCTGGTGCCAACGGTGCCGTGCACCAGTGGGCAGCCTGGAGGTCACAGGAGGGGGCCCTGCGCAGGGTGTACGTGTGTCCACCGGGGAGGGCCTGGGCCCCCATCTGCCCAGGAGCAGGGTGCCACGCTCAGCAGGGGTGTGATCCCAGCCTGCACACACTGCTGCCTCGTGAGGGGGGTGACAGGAGTGGGCAGCTGCCCAGCAGGCTTCTCCTGGGACAGACGTATGGACGCCGCATGGCTAAGCTTCACCAGGCACGCCAAGCTCTGCCACATGTTCTGCAGGCCCCACTCGCCCCTCCTGGGCCCCAGCACACACCAGGTGGGTAGACAAGCCCACTGCCCTGCAGCAGGCCTCTGTCCTACCCACAGGAGCCCCAGACTCAGCATAGCACCCACCTCCCCCCGGGAAGTGCACTCGCTCCCTGGCAACCCCAGGGACTCAGGACAGGGAGAGGCTGCTGCAGCCCCAGAGGCAAGCACGCTGCTAGGTGGCCTGGGGTGACACAGGGTTGGCTCGAACAGGAGCTGCCTGATTTGGGGGCCAGCGTCTCAGCCTCTCCCGGTACTTTGGGAGTATCAGTGTCCTGTCCAGAGGCAGGGGCCAGCAATAGGGCAAGGGCCTGCTATCCTGGTGGGTGGAGCCCCCAGCCCTGACCTATGGGCTCCACAGTATGTATGTGCCTCAACTGCCTGCTGTGGGAACTCGGGAACCCCAGCCAGCAGCCCCACCAAGCCCTGCCCTGCCTGCCCTGCTCCTGGTCGGCTCCGCTTTCCTCCACACTTTTGTCACCTGAAATGAACAACCTGGTCTTCATGCCACATGTACCCTGTGCAGCCTAGGCTCCCTTGTCCCACTCTCCAGCTTCAGTTTCCATCAAGGCCCAGGCTGCCCACCCTGATGCCAGTCTGGCAGCCACAGAGCAGCAGGGGCAGCAGTAGGGCCGGGCCGGTCTGGACCAGTCCTGGCAGCCTTAATCTGCATGCAGATAGGAGCACTTAATGAGCACTGAGGCCTGATTAACTTCCCCATTAAAGGCGCCAGGATGCACCCACCAATCCCCACATGCCCAAGCCACACATGGCCTGTCTGCTGGGCCACTAGGGCCCTCTGCACCCGCCTTCTCCCTCCTCTGTCCTCAAGACTTGGCTCGAAGGTCCTCAGGCAGAAGGGACCCAGCACCCGCCATCAGGGCCAGACCCGTCACAGGGTCTGGCAGGAGGGCCAGGAGCGGGCTTCCCTGCCTCCTTGGAGACCTTCTCTCCCCTCAGGCAGCACACGTGGGAAAGTCTCGGGTGCAGCCCCGTGTGAGCTCCAGGCAGCACCCTGGCATGAGCCGAGTCCTCCTCAGACCCCATCGGGAGGGCAGCGGGTGGGGCTGGCAGTGTGAGCTTGTATGGAGTCAGCTGGAGCCAGTGGAGGGGGCTCTGAGCTCCTGGGCTGTACCCAGGGGCCGGGTGTGGCCAAGCGAGCTGAGGCTGGCTCTGCTAGGCGACTGCAGCTGTCCGACCTTTTGCAGGATGTTTGCTGAGCCAGGATTCACTCACTTGCAGTGAGAAGAGTTGAGCTTTGCCTGAGGGGAAGGCTTTGAGTTTTGGAGCGCTGGGGTTGGGGGAAAGAAGCAAAGAAGAACCAATCCACACTGGCTGAGCTGTGTGGTGAGACCCGCCCCCGCGCCCGCCCACCCACCCGAGGGAGCCTCGGCTTCCATGACTTCCATGCCGAAGCAGGCTGCACCCGGAGCCTCATTGGGATGCGTGTGCAGGGCTGCTGTGGCGTGGCTCCCAGAGATGCCGCGGACACACAGTGAGGCAAGCCTGTGGCTGGCCCAGGACAAGTCTAGAGCCTGGAGACTGCGTCAGCGGAGACCTTGGGACGTGGGCTCAGTGACCTTGGGGTGCTGCTCAGCGGCAGGGAGAATCCCCAGTGTCCCCGGGGCTGTGCAGAGGACGCTGGAGGGGCCTGCAGAGTTCCAGCGCCACTCGAAGCAGCTCTTGCTTCTTTGTTCTTCCATGGGTGCCCAGGGCATGGCCCTGAAGAGTGATGGGAGGACCCTACCCCCAGACTGCAGCTTCCGGGGAGTCGCCTGGCAACCACTCTGAGGGAGCCCTTCAGAGGAGCTCAGAGTGTCCAGTCCCACATTCCTCGAGGCCAAGAAGCCCAGGGCAGGAGCGTTTGGGGTGGAGCTGCTGGCGGGGACCAGCACGCCTGTCCTGGACCTGCTGCAGTGCAGAGGTGCAGTGAGCCCTTCTGCCCACCCGCCAGCATCAGGAGGACTTCTGGCTCTGGCCTTGGGGCCCGATCTCATGGGAGCCCCTAGACTGTGGGGCCTCCCCTGCCAAGCAGCAGGGTTCAGCCTTGGCCAGCAGCTGACTGGCCCTACGTGCTGGCCCCACTCTCTCCCTCCCGAGTCCTGGGGCTCAGACCTGCTTCTCTCCCCACCCGCTCCCACCAGGGCCAGTCGTCCGGCCCAGGGCAAACTGCTCAGCACTGCAGGGTGGGGCTGGGGCTGTGAAGACCTTAGGGCTCGTGCACAGACCGGGCAGTTGCCAAGGGCCTCCTGAAGGGAAAAGCAGCGGCCGCAGCTGTCCTACCGCCACTGGCCGCCTTCCCCGAACGCCTCCTGGGGAGCCAGCCGAGCCCTTTCACAGGCCAAGGCTGCCGCCCGGCCTTACAGGGCTCAGTTAAGTGGCAAGTGGCACCCAATCGTTCCTAATCAAATAGGGATGTTTGTAGGTCAGGCGGATGCCCTGGGGCCTGGAGGGGGCTGTGGGCAGATGGTCAGTGCCAGGAAGACAAGGGGGCTTCCATTTTCTCCATTTGTGAGTGCTGCAAGAGCTGCCGCCACCTGGGGCCCGAGTTGGAAAGCTGTCCCTGGGCGGATTCAGCTTAGAAAGTCTGGCTGCTACACCTCAGGACCTGTGGTCCAAACCCTGGTGAGGGTCCACGGGACAAGCTGGAGCAGCCACACCTTGCCAGGTCAACCCCTGGAAACCCATTCTGGCCCCCAGGTACAGCGAACCATCTTTGGAACAGATCTCAGCTCATCTCCTCAGGAGCTGATGACAGCTTACTTTACTTGGAAGCACAGTGCACTGGGATTGCTGACGGGCACAGTGCCCACCTGTGGGGCACAGCCAAGGGAACAGCCACTCTGGGGCCTCCGCCCCACCTCCCAGAGTACTCTGCAGCTTCCTGTTTTCTCCAGAAGGTGGCCTCTGACAGGAGTCTGGGTGTGAAGGTCACTCCAGTGAAAGGGAAGCAGCCCCCGAGCCTGTGAGCTCACACGTGGGCGTGGATGGGGCAGAGGTACAGCCCCCCATCCTGCCCGCAGGAGGGAGGCTGGCAGGAACCAAGAGGAGATTCCCTCTGTGCAGGACCAGTGTGGGTAGGCAGGGTCCAGGCTGCTCCAGCTGTGACCGCTCAGACCTCAGTGCTCCGACATCCTCAAATTCCTTGCTGCCCAAGGGCCTCGGCCACAGGCGCAGGATCCTCCCTGATGGGCCCAGCCCTGCCCCCCAAACCTCCCAGGGCTCACTTGTTATAGAGGACGATGTCTGGCCTCCAGATGAGCTCGGAGGGAATGCGGATGGAGGTGACGTTCTCGTAGTCCCTGGGGTCCCAGCGCAGCTTGTAGTCATACCACTCCTGGTTGGACAGACAGCCGTGGGGTGAGAAGGGGACCTGGGAGAGGGTGGGGGTGGGCCAGGCCCCCGCTCACCTGCTTCACCCACACGTTCGTTGTCATCATCTGGTTCTTCTCATCCTAGGACACAAGCAAGAAGGCGGCTTGAGACCGCCCCAGGGGGCATCACCTCCACGGGCCTTCAGTTTCCCACTCACAGCCGTGGCAAACATGGCCACCGTGGACCTCAGAGAGCAGGCACGCCACCCCTGGAGGCACCCAAGCCCAGGACAGTGGCCCGAGAGCCCTACAAAGTTTCTTTCCCAGAAAGACTCTGGGGCCAAGTTCCCTGACTCCAGTGGCCTCCCCCGCTGCTGTTGGCTGGGTGCCTTCCCAGATACCCTGAGAGCCCGTGCTGCTCCCTCCCAGCTCTGGGGCAGGGACAGTGGGGGGTCTGCTGCCCAGCCTCAGCATAGCTGTGCCCTGTTCTGTGCGTATGGCTCGACCCCAACAGCAAGGTCCCTGCACAACCACGCTCCCACGTGACCCCACGTCAGGAGGCAGGGAGAACTTTTCCCTCCCCCACAGAGGCTCCAGAGTCCTCAGAACACGCTTCATGGTGGCCGTGCCAGGCCTCCTGTGAGCCATCTCTCCAGATCAGTGGCCAGCTGTCAGTCCCCAGGTGTCCTTGGAGCCAGCAGACACAGAGACTCAGCAGCAGGTCAGGAAACCGCTGGGGATTCCATGGCCTCCTCTGTAGCTGGCACCAGGGTGTGAATTCACACATGCAGTACAGAGGCATGCGGTACACAGACACACCTACACAGACATGCAGTACACACATGTGGTACACAGGCATGCATATACAGGCATGTGGTACACACGCATGCAGTCCACAGGCATGCGGTCCACACACAGAGACCCAGGAGGCCCAGGAGTCTGCTCCAAAATGCTCAGTCAGCAGGCCCAGGGCCTGACAAGCAGGGTGGGTCAGACGCAAGGAGGCCTCTCCACCCAGAAGCTCAGCCACAGGCTCCAGCCCGACACACTATGTCAGCACACAGGGGCCGAGCGGTCCCATTCAGCTCAGTGCTGGGAGCCATGGCCCTCCTGGGGTCTTGGTAGTGCTCTGGACCGCAGTATTTCCTGTGATTCTGTGGCCCAGGGGGTGCACGGGGAGCCCTGACAGGCGTGGCGGTGGGGACAGACCTGGAGCTTGAGCTGCGGCCAGCAGTGCCTCTGGCAGCCACCACTTTGCATCCATATTTGCAAACCTTGGCAGGGCTGACACCGTGCTTTATCCTGTGGCTAGGCCCAGCCAGGGACACTTCAGGAGCGTTCAAGGGCTACTTCCAGGATACCACAGGGCAGGAGTCTGAGTGTCAGCTCAGAACACGGCTCCCAGTCGGGGTCTGTGTCCATCCCATGCAGGCCAGGAGTCACACCTTCTAATGCACAGCCAGCCCACATCTGATAGGGCACGGAGGGCCACACACTGGCAAAGCCAGGCAGGGGCCAGAATCCCACACACTAGCAGCCCCTCCTTGGGGCTGTGGCAGCCCTTCAGTGGCTGGCTACCCCTGCCCAGATTCTGGCTCCATCCCTGCGCCTAGCAAGCTGGACTTCACAGTGGGGCTGGAGCCGGCTGGATCTCCATACAAAAACTCAAGCCCTTCTAATGGGATGGCCATGTCCCCCTTCAAGTGGCAAGGCCCTGGCCTCTCCCTTCCTCCCTCCCTCCCTCCCTCCTCCCTCCCTCCTCCCTCCCTCCAAGCTGCCAGAGCCCACATTCCAAGGCCTAGCATGACAGACAGGATGTTGGGTGCTGCTGTAGCGCAGCAGGACCCCCAGGCTGTGCAATGGCACCCAGCCAGTGACCTCAAAGGTTGGTTCCACTCCCAGAAGAACAGCTGAGCCTGGCTAGGAAATGCTCAGTGCCCGACCGTGCTTACCTGCCATACACAAGGCCCTGGGTCTCCTGTAGCTTGTGTCTAGGGGCTGTGGTATAGTCCCCAGTTGCTCCCCTGACCGGGCTCCTCACACTCTGGCTCACGCTGCAGGGGCCCCTTGCTGGACCCTCCATGCCCTCCCAGCAGCCTTCTTGGGCTTTCACCAGGAACATCCACAAAGCCTAGGACTCATCCAGACCCCACAACCAGATCATCAGATGCCCAGGAGCCTCTGGGACCCGTTGCTGGTCAGAGGAATCATGAGGGTGCAACAATGCCACCCCACCCTAGTGCCACAGGTAAAGCCCTGCAGCTTGACTGCGCAAGGCTGTGGCACTGCCCTCCCTGTCCAAGGAGGTGTCTTCCATTCTTGGCTCCTGAAGATGCCAGGGATGAAAGCCTGGTCAGCTAGTTTTCCTCTACAGGGCAGGAAAGGCAGGGCTGTCAGAAAAATCCACCTGCTTGGCTCACTCTGGTCAGCCTGTCATGGCCAGACATATGGCCATGAATGCTCCAAGAGGCAAATTGTCCTCTGCTTGTCCCAGCTGCTCTCCTACTGGCCCTTCCCTGCAGAGTTCTGCAGTCTCCATGCCCACACCTACCACGTCAATGAGCTGGGCAATGGACAGGCCGAAGCGAACAAGGACCACATCGGAGATGTTGGCCACTGGCCGGGACCACTTGTTGTAGCCAGAGAAGAGGGTCTTCAGAAGCCGTTCCTCTGCGTGAGCCCTGGTCTCCACGTGGCTGTGCACTGTGGGAGACAGGCAGGCATCTCAGTGCACACGGGCCTCCTCCACTAGCATACCCGGCCCCTGCCATAGCCTTCCTCAGTGCCTCACATGCCCCACCCCCCAAGACTAGCGCACGGCTGCCCCTCAGGGCTACACTCGGGCCGTTTCTCTGCCTCCGAACTTAACTTCCTCAGAGAAGCCTTTCCAAAGCCCTTGAGTGCGGTCAGGCCTGCCTAGCACCCTGCACCTCACCACAAAACCAGACAATGGGTCCAGCATGGGTGCAGTAAGAGCTGCCTCTCTGCAGCAGATGGTGATGGCCGAGGGAAAGGCTGGGCTACAGTGACCAGCAGAGACAAAGGACAAGAGGTGACCGCAGCATGGGGACAGCAGAAGCAGAGATGGGGGCAAAGATCCTGCTCCAGGAGCCTCTTCCCTGCAGCTGCAGGGAACCTGAGTTACTGCACACAGGAAGCTGTGCTGGCAGGGAGTGGGGGGCAGTGCTGCCCCAACAGGGGCCCAGAAGCCTGGCGACCTGTGTTCCTGGGCACACACATGGTGCCTTCCCGGACACCCTGCTGGGCTTCCAGGGCGGGGAGGGGAGCTTCTCTGCCAGCCTATCTGTGTCCCCTTGGAGGGCTACCCTGCCTCTGGGTGGCTTCACCACGGAAGAGGACAACCCTGCTCCCTGCTGGATCTGCTCACTTGAGAGCCACTCATTGCTCTTAGACGCCTGGGGTGCGCGCTCCACCGGACTCTCTGGGTTTCCCCAGTTCATTTGGTGAGCATGGTACTGCCCTTCCTCACTGGCTGGTGAGCATGGCACGGCCTCTCCTGGCTGGCCGGTTAAATTGTGGTTGGAAGCCCCAGAAAGGGAGTGCTGCAGAGGCCGCCCGGAGAATGGGAAGAGGGGGGAGGGGGAAAAAACCTGGGGGAGCAGAAAAGGTGGGGTGGGGGCCTCCAAGGGCAGAGCAAGCTGCACCACTCTGGTCCCCTAAACCCGTAGCAGACCGGGGGTCTGCAGGTAACCTGGTGGAATGCCCCCACGGGCCCCGCGACCAGCCCGGCGGGAGGAGCTGGGTCGGCTCCAAACAGGCAGTCAGAACCCCTCCCTCTCACCCAAATCCCTCTCCCGACGTCAGCGGAGCCGAGGCTCCTTCCCAGCCGGCCGGCCGGGCTCAGCCTGCGTCGAAGGACAGCGTGCGCCTCGCGGGTGGGGGCGTCTCCGTGGCAGCCTCTCAGAGCGCATCCGCGCTTTGGCACCGCAGCCAGAGCCTCCCTTCTTCTGGCTTCGGGGTCCCAGACACCCGGACCGGCGCGAAGGGTCTAGCTCGGAGCCCCGAAACTTACCCGGCAGGAGGCCGATCCCCAGGAGCAGCAGCAGCGCGGGGAGCAGCGGGGGCGGCGCCCCAGGGCCCCCCAGCTCCATGGCGCACTGAGCGGCTCTAGACGCAGGCGGCTCCCAGTTCCCCCGCGCCCCCGCTCAGAGGCCGGCGCGCGCCCAACTTCATGCCCCGCGCCTGGCCGCGCGTCCCACGGCCCGCTCGGCTGCGCGTCCTGCAGGGTGCGGCGGCGGCGCGGGGCGGGGGCGCGAGGCTGTGGGTTCCGCGGCGCGGCCCCGCCCGGACCTGCAGCCTGCAGCGGGCGGGAGAGGAGGAGGGGGGAGGAGGAGAAAAAGGGAGGGAGAGGAGGGGGGAAAAGAGGGAGGGGAGGAGGGGGCTGGTCGCACACAGGAGGGGACTTGGACGCTGCCGTTTGTGGCTCAGGGCGGGGTGGGGGGTGGGGGGGTAGGGAGGTAAAGTTTTCTCATCCTCTAAGGCCTGATGACTTGCTCAGGTCCGACGTGGGACCCCATGGGCATTGCGTGGTGGGCAGTCCCTGCTCCCCCCGCGCAGGACAGCCCCACCCCCATCTCCAGGCCTGGATCCCAGGACACTGTACCTCGGGGCTCGGGCCCACTCCTTCACCCCAACCCGCTCCTCTCCTCAGTGTGCATGTTTGGAGTTTGGAAATCACAGGTCTTCTTTCCCAGAGAAAGTGGAGTAGAGTCCACTCCCCTGCTCTGCCACCCTCATCTGCCCTCCACCTGCAAGTATCTAGTGACTAGCCCAGGTCCCACTGCTGCTGGGGAGGGAGAGGCCCTGGTGCCCCTGCCCTGCTTCTCAAGCTCCATCTCTGAAGGTAGCCTGGAGCCCTGTGAACAGTCCTGTGAGGAGTGAGGCCAGCGGCCTTGGACCACTCTCAAGGGCAGCGGACAAAGGACAGTGAGGAGAGTCTTCGGAGAACAGACCCACGGCCTCCTCTGCAGATGCCCAGTGTGTCCCAGCCATCCCCAGAGAGGAGCTCAGCCTTCAGCGGGGACAGGGTAATGCCTGGAGAGGGGGTTCTGTGTGACTGAGCCTCTTAGAGGAGAGAGGGTAGTGAAACTTCAGACCCTCTGTGGTCCCTGCACCCCTACTGATGCCCCCCAACATGGAGGCTCTGCAACAGCTACTGAGCCACAGAAGGTGAGGCTCAAAGAAGATGGGGTGAAGCGGTTCCTGCCCCTGCAGCTTCCATGCCCCTCCCCCATGGCCAGAAAGACCCTCAGGACCCCCTTGGGCTCCCCCAACCTAATACAGATGTCAGCTTCCGTTGGTACTCCGTGCCCTCCTTGCTCCTCCCCACCAGGAATCCACAGCCCTTCTAGCCTCAGCAGGACTCACTGGGTCCCACTACCCTGGGGGCAGGACCCAAAGTCCAGCTCGCTGAATGTTCAGCCCTGAGTAGGACCAATCAGTGGTGACTTCCGCTCCCCTTGAGCGCTTCCCAGAGCTGGCCGAGCACCGCAGGTGCTGGCTCACTGGACTCCTGCACACTCAGCAGTGCCTCTTTCTTCTCTCTGCTGTACAAAGAAACAGGTGGAGAGAGGTTAGGCAACTTGTCCAAGAGCACACAACAGTACCGAGACTCCAATCCAGGCCGTCTCCAGACTTCCTGGCTCCAGCGGACCAGGCCCTGAAGGTGCCCAGGGCCTCCTGCATCATTGCAGGCATCGGGAGGTGCTCCTCCAAGACACAGACCCCTCATCGGGCCTCCCACAGAGCCAGAGCCGGCGTTCCTCAGTCCGTCATCCCTGCACGAGCCAGCTCTACCCTGGGCATCAGGGAGTCTCCAAGCAGAACTGCAGACCTGGACCAAATGCTGTCTGCAGCTAGGGTGCAGGGCAGCGTGTCTGGGCTTGGGCCCACAGAGGGGGGTTGGGCTGGTGACTCCCTCGGGGAGAGAGCAGGTCCTCCACAGCTTCACGAGGTCACTCAGAGACTCAGCAGTGCTTGCTCAGCAGTCTGCAGACCCCATCGCATCCCATTCTTCAAGCATGCGTGTGTGGGTGTGGCTGGGGGGCACTGAGCACTGAACCCCAGGCCTTCCCACAGAGCCACACCCCAGCCTTTGCTTTTATTGTCTCTTTTTGAGGTAGGGTCTTCTAAGTTCCCCAGGCTGGGCTCAAACCTTTGTTCACCCTGCCTCAGCCTCCTGGAGTACTAGGAGCACAGTCATGAGCCACAGACCCTGCCGCTTTTACTTATTAGTAAGAAGGCTGGCTGTACTCCTGGAACCCCTGTGAAGATGGCTGCTCCTGCTCTGCCTCAACAGTTGGGGCACGTAGGACAGAAACAGGGCCTCCTAGGCTCAGTGAAAGAGGCTCTGTGTCCCTCAGGTGAGGATGCCCCTGTCCTTTACTCGGGCTGTAGCTTCATCGTGTGCAATCCTCAAAGCCAGGGCCTTTCAAGTTGCTCTGGATTGGGGCAGGGAGTGAGTGTGCAGGCCCCTGGCCGAGGGTGTGCAGGAACACGGCCGCAGAACCTGGGCGTCCTCTCAGCCCATCAGGGAGCTTCCTGGGAAGTCTGTTTGAGGTCCACTGTCAGAGCTCAGGGTAGCTGCTAGGCTGCTGGTCCTGGAGGCCTCACTGGAGACTCTAGCCAGGCTTAGTCCTCCCGAGCTGGTGCAGGGCAGAGCGGAGCTGGAGCTTCCTGGACACTGCTCTTCCGTTGGCTTCCTCTAGGCTGTTTCTAGCAGAGAAAAGCACTGTGCCCAGCCTTCCGGGCTTTCTGGTGCATCCCTTGGGGTGTCCAGCCTGCACCCAGTGAGGCCTGATGTGAGGCCAGGCTGGGGTCAGCTCCGCCCTCGGGGCCTGGCCGCACAGCCCTGTGGCCGTGCTCTGACTCACACACAGCTGTCCTACCAGGGTGGCTCTCCCTGTGGATCTACTAATGCGGCGAGATTAATTGCGTCAAACTCATTAATTTGCTCAGCTGTCCCTCCCCACCTGGTGCCCGAAAACTGTCTCAGAGCTACTAATCAGGGCTCCGACTTGGGTTCTAGCTGCAGGTCCAGAAAAGAAGCCCAGCTCACCACTGTGTGGCTGCTCTGGGGAGAGTCTGGTGGCCTGCGGAGTAGCTGCTGCCCCTGGGGTGGGGTCGTGGAGCTGCCCTTCGAGTGCATCCTCCCCTGGCCTTCCAGGCTGTCCTTGCACCAGCCTCTGAGGGGAGGCTCCCCTCCCACTCCCTGCCCTTTTCCCCCTCCACCTTGGCCCAAGGACATTTCCATGGTAACCATCTGCTGGTGTAAATAGAGATTCGTGTAAAGGTGGGTGCTGGGGGAGCATCTGCTGGGTGTGAGTTCAGGCGGCACCGAGGAGCCAAGCTGGCCCCAAGAGCCGAGGCTGTGCCGGCCAGGACCTGGCCTGCATGGCCCCAGTCAGGCTTCCTTGCTGCCAGCCTCTCGGCAGGCCCTACCACAGGGAAAGACAGCCGACCCCCTCCAAGGACCCTGCACCTGGTGCGCCTCCATTCTCCTTAGCACCACCCTGCATGCACATACAGGGAGCGCCCAGCCAGTTTGCAGATGTGGTTTCTCCAACTCCCTCTACCACAAGCGTATGTTCATCTCTTCATCACCAAAATCCCTACGCAAGAGCCTGCAATGGGTGGTTGGCTGGGCTGGTGTGCATGTTGGATGTAAGGACGGATTAATAAGGAAGGGAGGGAGGGAGAGAGGGAGGGAGAGAGGGAGGGAGGGAGGGAGGAAAGGAAGGAAGGAAGGAAGGAAGGAAGGAAGGAAGGAAGGAAGGAAGGAAGGAAGGAGCACATGTGCAGACCCTGGGCAGGGGATAAGAGGTGTAGCAGAGCCCAGGATGGAAGAGGCGGAGGCAACCCCACGGCTGGCCAGGAGGGAGTGAGGCCAGGCTCGGGGTCAGTGCTGTCCACTGTCCCAGAATTCAGTTCCCTGTCTGATTACACCCTGGGTCAGAGCCCTTTAGTACCACACAGGCCAGCACGCCACACTGTAGGCTCTTCCTGATGGGAAGGAGACCTCAGAGACTCACTCGCCCAGCCTCCCCCTGCTTTCTCCAGCAAAAGCTTTAGGAACTGTGTGGTGCCCTGGGATCAAGAGGGCGGGCCTTCCTCCACAGACAGTGCCTTCGGCAGTGCCCTCCTCCCCGACTGCTGGTACTTCCACCCAGGTGCCCTCCAGCAAAGGGTAGCGGGGGCATGAGGAAGAGTCAGCCCCAAGTCTCCACCTTTCCAAGCACCAGTTTGGACAAAGCAGATGTTTTCCCTGTGGAACACAGGGCCAGTATCACAGAAGAGGCTCCGTCTGGGCCTTTGCAACACTCCAACAGTCACCCAACTTCTGGCTGAGGCCCAGAGGCTGACCCGGGCCCAGGGCCATGGTGAACCTCCTCCTGCCTGTCTCTGCCTGCTGCACCTGGGAGCAGAGAGCTGCACTGACATCCTCCCTGGAGTCTCTCAGTGGTTTCCTGCGGCTCCCCAGGCCTCAGGTGCTCCTGGCCACCTGGCTTCCTGTGGAGGAGCAGACAGGCCTTTGCTGCACACTAGCCTGGGCCTGCTTCGGCTCTAAGCCACAGAGGTGCTCCTACCCCACCCCCACCTGCACACTTGCTAAGTAGTTAATTATCTCTAAACACTCCAGAAGAGGGTTCCAGCCTGAGCGAGCACTGTGATGAATGAGAATGACTGTCCCGGGTCTGCCTCCAAGTCCTGCTCTTGGCCCAGTGACAAAGCTCCTGGTGGCAGGAAGCCAGGGCAGTTTTTGAATCGTGGCTCTGCCCCTGCCATGCTGTGACTTCTCCCTGGCCTCAGTTTCTTCAGCTGTCAAGTAGGGTGTGACTGTCTTGTGTCACCACTCATGATGGCCAGGCTGCTGCCACCTGGCTGGGTTGGCACCTGGCTCATTTCTGGCACCGTGAGCAGCTCTTTTGCACTCACAGGGGAAGTCACTGTGCCAGCCTGTCAGGGTCACAAGTCAAGAGTCCAAGCCTGGAACCCATGAGCCAGGCCAGGTGTGGCACAGCCTGAGGCGGGGTCTGGGACACCTGGCCTGCACCTTTCCAGCTCTCAGCCCTGTAGGGCCCCCACCAAGCGC